AAACACAAAATAGTTGAGACTGTCTTCTTAAATGAAGAATTCAACCCACACCTACAGAAATTATGGGCCAACCAAATATCTGTAAAATAAATTGTCATGGAGGAAATAACAAATGATAGGATGCTCTTATACATTAAAAGGAAAGTAAAATCGTTTTCAAATCCCCCCAAATTAAGTAGATTAAGAAGGTCAATTAGACTTGACATTTTTTCAAAAGTGACCGAAGTTGCACAACTTTAATTTGAGGCAAAAATAAATGACTCCTCGCAGGAAATTATACACACAAACGTAAAAAATAGGTCCAATTAAGTAGAAAGACGTTAGGTTACTGTAAAGACAGCTATGTGCTGGAGACTGCACAAGATCAGCTGAAGAGTAATAGAAAGAGGATACGTACAAGTCGCTATATCTCTGCAAAATAAATAGCCGCGAGGAAATATCTAAATGACACATATAGAGCAGCTTTGGTATTTGGCTCTAATCCTTTAAACAATTTAAGGGAAACAAAATAAATGAGAAAAAATCTGCATGGTACAACTGGTTGCAAGGTTTCTTTAAGGTAGCTGTAGTTTGCAATAGATGATTTCTAGGTTTTGGTAGTGGGGACCTGAATGCTCAATGTATATCTAAGCTAATGAAAGGTACTTGTTTTCATGTCATTTGGTGGAAGCCAAAATCCAGTTTTACTAGTTTTTTTTTCACACCTGGACGGCAAGGCGGGGGAGGGGAGAGGGAACGCAATACAGATCCAGCTACAGACAAAACAATCTTTGTTGTGCTACTACCTCTCGGTTGCCTGTCTCATCTTGAACAAAGGCAATGAATATTATAGCACCAGATCCATATGTATAACATAACACACAGCATGCATGCCACCAATTACGTTTGGATTGTACAGCAGGGGCATTTCAAACGCTACACTTTCTCACTCAATTTTGTATGCCAAGACACAGATCTTTTGTTCGCGATTAGTTTTGGTACAAAGCCTACACGATTTGCACTTCTGAATATAGTGCAAACGTCATCTGAACGCTTTCTGCTCAAGTGCCTCCTAATATGTGGGATGGAATATGGAAGCTTGTAATTGACACTCATTTTTACTGGCAAGCGCTGGCACGTCTTCAAGACTGTGCAGACAATACTGAAAACATCGCTAAGTTCGCCTTTATCAATAGGTACGGCGACGAACCTGTGCAATAAAGCTCGCTGGAACTGTGGTAAAGAGAAAATATGTGAAGGAAAGTGGTTTCGTCTTGCAAATAGATCCGTCCTGTCAACAGACAGACTTCAAACAGTGCAGCCACTTTAATATAGTTTAAGTCACATGCCACAACTGTCCACTGCCTCCAAATGCTTCTTCAAATTTATTGCCCCTTTTCTTATATCAAAACGCGCTTCGAAGTTAAACGTCACAGGGTGATCAATTAGTTACTCAAGCATTAGTTGTTGCATTGCAAACCAAAAACTCTGACTTTATCTTCCTGACAACTGAATTAAACTTCCGAATTATGCAAGCTGTTGACCACTGACCGCAGAAGCTATGTAGATTATGCGAAACATTTGATTACAATCAGCAACAACAAGGCGCTGATCACCGAGCAAAGGTTGGCGGCGGCGCTACTCCTGCAAGACCCGAACAGAAAACAAAGGTTTAATATAAAAAAAAGTACATTTGCTGAATGATCTAAGAGACGGGGGGTAAAAAAATGACAAAGCAGCAGAAGGATTTGATTTATTTTGCGAATGGATCGAGACTGCTAATGTCTGATCATTTACATATTGAAATGCGACCAAGCGGACACTCAATTTTCCTGCCCATGTTTTGCACATGGCTCTCTCGATTTTCAAGCAGCCAGGTTACCTCGCAACGCCCCTTGAGGAGGTCAGGCGGTCGATTCCGCGTTGATCAATTTTGACTGCAAGGCATCAACATTATGAAAAACACCCTGGCACCAGATGGAGCGAGGTCTAGGTAAAGGTCAAGGTTAGCTCAGCCTGCTATTGAATCGGCTGCGTGATAGATCGTTGACTCGCTTTGCTCGGAGGCACCCATAGGGGTTTCTGAGAATAAAAGGAGTCACAAGTGAAACGCTCCGACGCTGCTCTGAATGCTAAAATAATTATTCGGATGCATTAAAAACGAGTAGCCAAATTCTTCCATGAGAAAACACACGCGCAGATAGGTGCTGAGAACATTTTATTAAGCACATCAGTCTGACTTCGAATACCCAACTCCAGTCATTGGGTACATGACATAAAGTTACTGTCACTGAGCTAATCAAAAGATGGAATTAATTCCTTCGTTACGGATTTGTCCATGAAGTGGTCGTGAAATTCGCAACCGAATGCGTTGATACTCCCTTCACCCCACCCCCCAACTCCCTCTCCCCAGTCTCTTCCAGGCACTCGATCGGATCTCTGTGCTGGGTCCGAGTTTCACTGGGCAGACATTACACACAAAAGTTACTCTTATATATCCGCGCCGGTAGTTTCAATGAGGACAGAGTGGAGGAGAGGCGCGCGGCGGCGGGCAGGGGGTGAATGTGTGTGTGTGTGTGTGTGGGGGGGGGGGAGGGGGGGGGGGTGGTGGGTGTCTGTACATTTTTATTTGACTGCGACTTGGCAATAATTGGATTCGCGAACTCAGTTCACTAACTACTGGACAAGATGGTAGATAAAAGGCGACCAGGTTAGCAGCCAGCTTCCAGATGCAGATTAGATCAGAAATAATTTTGCATTAGAAGTGGGGGAGGTCTGCTGGAAGGAACTTGGCTCTGGCAGTTTGGCAGCGCTTTGCCCTCGCTCCCTATAAATTTACAGAACCCTTTTCCTGTAGAAAACCGCACGGTTCGAAAACAAAACAACCTACAGTCATTTGGAATCCTTGCAGATGGGAAATGTACTTTCACCGTTTTAACAGAAGTGCCATCCACCTCGGGTTAAGAGTTATAAAACCATTTTGTTTTACATCCATGACTTTAAGTAACCTAACTTCCTCGTGTGAGAGGGACGGTACAGCTGCAACCGCAGATCTTATCTGATCGTTGAGTGTTAAGAGTAAAAATAGTTAACCCTTCAACCACTTGCTACAGCTGGTGAAAAGAATAAAATGGCGCAGTTTCTGTTAACATATCGTACCATTGATCGCAATGAGTTCAATTTCACTTCTGCTGCCTGAAATGTTTTGCTGGCCATATTTACGTCTAGGGCCCTCCAGCTAAAAGCATTTATACTCCATAAAAAAAAAGCACCATCAAATACACAAGGTTACGTCTGGGGAGCACAACACATACTTCATGGAAACAATGACTTAAAACGCCTCTGAAATCTTCCATGTTCTACAGTTCCTGTTGCATCAATACAGATTTATAGTACAGCACAAGTTTTAAAAACAAGGTTCTTTAAGCTACCTGTTCGGATAGTTATCTCGCTGAAGTCTTCACATGCACTAGAGAGACGAAATTCTTCCTTATTTACGATTGTCTAATTGCAAAGCATATGTTACACGATTTTTTTTCTAGTTTGTTGTGCAGATTTTATTTTAAATAAACATGGAAGGGCAGATTTAGAAAAAAATGTTTTATGTTATATTGATTGACTAGACTTTCAGCCATCACATTTAATCAAACCATCCAAGTATCACCAAGGGCAACAGAATTAACATAAAATCATTTTCCTTTAAAAAATCGTGTGCTTTGAAATGTTATTACATTTTTTAAAATAAAACGGTCGATGCAGGTGCAAAATCTTCAAAGGTTACTCGAAAACTCCTTTTCTCACCTCGCATTAATGAACAGGGCCGTATATGTATCTTGAAATGAGAAGCAGCATTGCTATTTTAAACATAATTTGCATTCAACTCCAATACCTGCAACTAAAGTACCTGCAAATCCATTGAAAAACGAGAATGAACTGTGTGAAGATCAATTATCAAGCCGTTCTCGGTTTAACATACTGTATAGAAGAGCGACACAAAGGGTAGAAAAATAATAGGATTAACATTTTCACTTCATATTATATATTCACGTTACTTCAAGCAGTTCCACAGTCTTGTGAATTATCCACCAATAAGTAACTGAAAGCAGCAGAGATGCGACTAACAGGTAACGCCAAGGAAATAGATAGTCGGGGAGACTTCCTTTTATTCCACAAAATAAACATAATGTTACGTTATGTTTATAAAGCACATAAGCACAGAAAGAGTCAGCAACCTTCAGGAGCAGTTGCTTTTGTCATAGAAAGTGAAAGAAGGCAGTAGACTTGATTTATGATTTTAATTTAATATACAAATGTAAATATCTACGCTCTATCCAGCTGTCTGGACTCACGTGTACGCCATCGAAATTTCAGTAGGCTGCAAATTCTAATACTCATTTGGCTATTTACACCATAAAATACTTTGCAAACCTTGTTTATTCCCCCTACCACCACTACACATAATTAACTTTATGAATAATGTCAACCTTTCGTTTTTGGACGTGGTTGGCAATCATAACGGGGACACAAAAACACACGCGGAGTGCATGTGCGTTCCCCTTCCTGATGTCCTGCACGGGTTGTATAGAACAAATGTCAGATCATTTGCCCGGATCTGGCCAGTAAACCTTGTGCCCATGAGTTGCAAGCAGTTTGGGCTGGCACAGAAAGAGAGAGAGTTGGGAGTGGTGTGGAGGGGTTGGAGTGGCTTTGAGAGACAGGAGGCGGGGTGGTGTGTGATGGGGTGGGGGGCTGGTGTGTAGCTTGGTGGTGGGGGGGGGTGTTAGCGGTAGGCGGATGATGGATTGATTGGAAACTGCTGGAAGCTGCGCCTATTGGATGGCTGGGACTGTGAGTGAGTGTGAGTGTGTGTGTTAGTGAGACTCTCTGTGAGCAGTGGGGTTTGTCCAGCCCCGTGTCCCTGGGTATGTATCATTGGCTTGCTCTCTCCTCTCGCCCTGCCCAGCCACCTCCTGACGTTCAAGTTCGCGGGCACGTCACGTACGCACTTGAACTTGGTCGTTTTAAAGCCATGACGGCTATCCCACAATCCATCTCCATCCGCCATCTTTGTATTATTTCTAATTTATTTTATGTCAAGCCATTGATGAAGATATTTTCTCTGGAGTCTCCTTCTTCCCGCTCCCGATGTGACCGAGCATGTCTCGCCGCAAGCAAGGCAACCCTCAGCACTTGAGTAAACGGGAATTTTCACGTGAGTAGCTTTGAAATTTTTTTGTTCCACTTTTTTTAAACAAAAAACATATATTTTAAAAAAGCTCCGATGAAAGTGCAGAGAAGAAGGAGAAAGATCTTCCCCAGCGCCCCCCGTCACCTCCCTCCCCTCACCCACCCTCTCTCTGGTGAGGTGCCGGCAGCAGCGGCGCCGGGGCTCGATCGGTCAGCGCTTTGGCCGGACTCCTGACAGCAAGTGGCCGGACTGAGGGACACAGCAGCTGTTAGGATCTGAGCCTCCAAGTGTCCGGCTTCAGATTCACTCGAATCTCTTGTCCACCTTTTTCTTTTTCCCCGCCGTCACCTTACACACAAACAAAAATCCCCACATGCCAAAAAAAGAAATCAGAATAAACTCCTCAGGAGCTGAGGGGCAACGAAATTGTAAGGAAGAAACTCAACAAGAGTCCAAAAAAGTGCCGATTCCGCTCCCCCCCCCCCTCCCCGGACACTCGGCGCTGGATTTGCAGCTTTGATCGTGCCGCCCCTCAAAGGGCATCAGTCCCCGAGCCCCATCCGTCTTTCCCCCCTCCCCCGCCAAAAAATTAAACTTATCCCCTCTCTTTCCTCCCTTTTTCGGAAGCCGGGAAATCGTCTCACTTTATACTCGCTCGCAACTTTTATTCACCGCTTAACTTCTCCCGCTTTCTCTCCTCTTACTATTTTTTGGAAGATTTTCAAAAAAAATCTGGAAGTAGATTGTGATTGGGAAAAATCTCGTGCTTGAATGTTTACAACAAGCTGCAGCTCCGCGTGTGCGGAAACCTCATGGAAAAAAAACCCAGCGCCGTCGCTCTCTCATTTTACAGCGTTTCGCAAATTCCCTCCCAGAACTATTAAGTCTTATTAATAATTTTGTTTTGAAAAGTCACAAACTCCGCTGTAAACCCCGGGTGTTAGCGTTGCTCTCCTCGGGCAGACATGTGGAACTCTCGGGGCTGAACGAGCTGCGGGTGTCAGTCAGTCCGGGCGCGCACACGTGCAATCCGCCAGACCCGGGAGGGGGGGGGGGGGAGAGAGAGAGCGATCGTGGGGAGTGGGAGGCCGGAGAGAGGGAGCCCGGGGAGAGAGAGAGAGAGATCCCGGGGAGAGGGAGGCCGGAGAGAGGGAGCCCGGGGTGAGAAGGGAAGACGGAACCCGGGGATAGAGATCCTGGAGCTGGGGGAGAGAAAGCCGGGCAGAGGGAGTCCGGAGCAAGGTGGGGTGGATATAACTGAATGAGAGATCTTGGAGACGGTGGTGGGGGTTGGCGGAGGTATGTTGCTGGAGAGAGAGAGAGAGCGATCCCGGAGCTGGAAGGAGAGATTCAGGAGTCCGGGGGGCGGGGGGTAAGAGTGGTGTGATGTGGGTGGGGAGGTAGAGAGCCCAGAGTTTTGGATACACTAGACAGAGAGAGAGAGAGAGATAGATCCCGGAGCCTTGTGGGGGTGGGAAGAAATAGATGGAGAGAGAGAGACCCGGGAGCACAAGAGGTGAAGGGGAGAGCGGGAGATCTACGGGCGGGTGGGGGAGGGCGAGAGCCAGGGGAGCGACAACCCGCTGGACGGAATTGGGAGAGAGTCCAGCTCCCGAGACCGAGGACCCGGGCACGAGATCCCGGGGGGAGGGGAGTTCGGGTCCCGGACTCGGTATCCATAAACGTTCGAAAGGAAGTTCATTGCATTTATTAGCAGCCCCCCACCCCTCCCAAAATGTTAAGCATATTGTTTGGGGAGAGGGAGTTTTCAGCTTTGGTTTGTGTGTGAAAATGAGACTTTGTTCCTGTTGGGGGAAAGCCGCAGGTTTCTTGTCAGATTCTCCAGTGTTGCCGTCATCTGAGATTGCGATCGGCTAGTTCATGGGGTTTCACATTGAAATCCAACAGAGCGAGCAAACTGGCGAGAATAGAAAAGAAATACCTGGCGAATAAAGTATAGTTAAGACTATAGTGTGGGAGTTTCTTTCGCGTTTAAAACCCGTTTTTCATAATTCAGTGATTGTGGAAAATGTATTTTTTTGCCGTAAGCCAGACAGTGGAGAAAAAATAAGGCGATTCGACTGGTCAATAGAAATCGTGGACTTTTGGCTTTCTGAATATTTTCTGTTTTGCAAAGTCCCTGTTGAATCGTGTAAATGTAGAATATTGTTTATACGGAAGATGTATCAAGGTTGTTTAATGTGTGCGTGAGGGACTGAAGGGAGAGGGGTCGATGCTGCGGGCTTGTGTCGCTAGGAGGCAGAGTAACATCAGAAACAAGCCCAGGCTGCAACCTGCACAAACTTCCAACACCATTTCCCAGCGACTGCTCTCAGATCTTGCTCCTTGTCCTCCCCCGCCGACCAATTAAAAAAAAACAAACTAAACGAAACCGACCCCATCCCAAACACTCTCTGCTTTACTGGCCGTTTTCCATCCGATATTCTTCCAGGTAAAAGGGCTATTTTTGATGCCGAGCTTCACCTGCACGAGGGCTCGACGCATCGAGATTATTGTTGAAGTTCGTTGAGTTCGGGCATTATTCTAAATAAAAACAATCACTTAAAAAAAAACAAATAATAACACAGCTTTCCCCTTCCCCGTTAAAAGCGTGGAGAAAAAGGAAACAATTTTTTAAAGTCAGTTCAGTTACTGATACAAAAGCAAAGTTTGTTCAATAACAGCAGCTAGTTGTTTGCTCTAAGGATATTTTGCTTTGACCCACGTGTGTGTGGTGATTGCATTTTTTTTAAATTTTGGGAAATGCTTTGAAATTAAACAAGGCGAACTTAAATAGATGAGTGGGAGCTTCGGCGATCAAGTGAGTGTTGGTTTGTCCAAATCCACTGCTCCCGGTCTCACAACACTTCCAAATATCTCACTCCGCGCATTGTATCTTCCGCAAGTTTATTGCCATTTGCTAAACTCTCCTCGAACCGACATTTCCTGATACTTTTGCGAAGTGACAGTTGTATGGAATTCAAATGAGGCAATTTGCAAGCTCGTCCAAAGGTAGATACGGGCACAACTATTCATATAGGAAAAAACATCGTGTTTGGATAGATTTTGACAGCTGAAATTCGAGATTTTATTCGGAAGGTATTAATGTGCACACTTTCCCTTCGCGGGCTTGGAGCTGAACGGAGCCGCATTAAAGCCGCTTGCCTCTACTGTATTTCTGAATTTCTCCCTTATTCCGTTTCAGTAATATCGATTTCAAATAACCGAAAGCGGCTCTAAACTTTGTTATAGTAAATAATACATTTGATCACGAGTTGAAACAGCGTACTTTCCACTTTTAGATTGTTAAGAACAACAAACGATTTCTTAACTGTTTCTGAAGCTTATGTTAAAGCATCAGATCAGAGTGGTACGATATCAGCTCAGTACAAGTAGCAATAGAATATGTCTTCAAATGCATCAAACAGGATTCATAAATGTTGAAGCATCATACATTGCGGCAATAAAACTGCTAACTTATTGAAAGGATAGCCCACATATTCAGTGTAATTGTTTTTGTATATGTCCACATATTCTTAAAGTTCTATATGTCACTATTTCAGATTCAATATCAAAGTGTATCTTTAGCTAATCACTTGGATTGTATGGCTTACTTTACTGATTCGTGATTTTAAAATTAAAAGCAGAATCACTATATTTAAGCCTTGTTATCTGTGTACTTCTTTCTTGCGGTGTAGCTATCTTTTTAATGTAAATTCAAATCTGTGTATCATTTGAAAACATAACAGAAGACAATGGCTTTGAAGGCTATTTTCTAATTAGTCTTGGAATCTCAAAATACCGCAAATTTTACAAAGAAAATAAACTTGTCCACTTTCCCTCACCTTTCTCACTTACCCCTTTATTTGCTAAAGTTGAAAATTAAGTTGCCAAGATTATTCATCCATAGCTACATCTAATATTTGTCATAAAATGCCAGTGAAGTTCCATTCAATTGTCTGTATTCTTCCAAATATATTCCATTGCAAGCAAACATGAATTTGCACATTGTACTTAATTTTTTTTTGATGGCATGTATTTAATATCTTGAATTGTAAGCTTTGTGTCTGAATAATTTGTGACCCTTTTTAGTTTTCCTTTTAATAGTGGATTACTGTGTCAAAATTGGTTGCCAAGTGAGAGATGATGTGGTGGGGGGTATATTCACATTTAGTCGAATTAGGAATCATGAAAGGGATACCATAAGGTGGTTGGCGTTCTCAATACCAGGGAACAAATTTGACTGAAACTGATCAAAATTTCAATGGCTGAAGTAGTGAACTTTGATAGTCTGTTTTGGTTCAATTTAAAAATTATTTGTCATTCTCTGTTATTTCAGGTAATTAAAAATAATTTGTTTTCTGTGGAAAAGGTTATGTGTGGTGTAAAGGCATGGCAGCTTTTTCAGTCCTGTTAATGTTTATGACAAAATATTAATAAATTAATATTTTTGAGTTTAGTCCAGCGCAGTGCAGATAAAATAGGTATTTGGGTACTCCCCACGAGCATTTAACAAAAGCAGCAAGGAATGCAATATCTTCTATCACAAAGCCCATCCTTGGCATGTAAAGCAACGGAATGTAAAGCCGCCAGCTGTTTAGAACTAAAATTGAAATAATCAAGCTCGTTCCTCAGTGCCAAACAAACCCCATTTTCTACAACATTCTAAGAAAAACATCAAAAATAATTATGAGGGGGAGAAAAACAGCTGAACACTGTCCTTGCTGTAATTTCACTGCACTTTAAATTTCCCAAAGCAATCAGGTCATTGATAAGGGAATGTGGTGCAACATTTATTTGGCCTTCTAGTAACACGTTCATTTTCACATTTTTTGGTTTTCTCCTTGTGGGTAAAGAAAATGTATTTTAAATCAAATGATTCTGTTCTTAAAACAGTGCTTTTGTACATAAATTGCTATGCCTTGATAAATTTCTTTGAAGATCTGTACAGTTCAATCGGAGAATAATGACCCTTCCCTAAATACAGTTACTGATACAGGTGTGTGGGGAAAGTTGAGAAAAGAAAGGTTGAAGATATTTGATGAGTAGAATCACCTGATTTATGTTTTCTTTGCCCTTTTTGTTTTGTTTTGTTTTTTTCTGCTGCAGCTGATTCCCTGGAAGCCATTCTCTCAGATGAAGAGGAGGAGCATGGCACCTTGGGAGCTCCTGAGGGTGACCACGATCTCCTTACCTGCGGCCAGTGTCAGATGAATTTCCCATTGGGGGACATTCTAATCTTTATTGAGCACAAAAGGAAGCAATGCAATGGCGGCCTCTGCTTGGACAAAGCTGTGGATAAGCCTCCGTCACCTTCTCCCAGTGAGCTGAAAAAGGCATCCACACCTGTCGAAGTTGGCATACAGGTCACACCAGATGATGATGATTGCCTGTCTACATCTTCCAAAGGAGTTTGCCCTAAACAGGAAAGCACAGCAGCAGGTAAAAAAATACACAAATCAAATATCAAAACAAAGTATATACGCTTGTACAAACAGAAATAAGGAAAAAAAATCACAAGCCTTGTTGTATCCTTTCTTTCTCTTGCATGTTTTTGCTTTAATCCGAGTGCTGCTACTATTCCTGAGTCTCTATCAGCTGTCAGAGTTTGCACTGTAATTAAACACAGCCCCATGGCAAAGTGACATAGGTGACCTTGACTTTAAGTTGCCATTTATACTAGCCAGGCCAGAGTTAAGAGGGCAGTTGCTGAAGCGCACAGACATGCTTATTCGAAAGTTTAAGGGCATGTTGGAAATTTCAAAGGTTGGTTTGACAGGAAAGGCCACTCGATGCACAGAGTCTCCTCAGTGGAATGATAAATGCCTCTCGCATTCTGTCTGTTTTGTGATGTGGTTCTGACAGATGTGTCTTGATTTTTCTTTCCGGATTGGTTTCCTTGCTATACTTCACCCTCTTGGACCAATTGCTTGTGGTTTCTGTGTGTGTCTTTCTGTCACTGCATGACTGTCACCTTCTCTATTCCTCCTTTTATTTTTTATTTGTCACTAATACTCTTTGTGCATCTCTCTTTCCTCCCCTCTCATCTTTCTCATTCTCCTGATGTCAAATTACAAATAATATTTGAATCTTTAGAGACATTTCACAATATTCTTTCTTTTTATGTGATAAAACTTTTGTTCCTTTTAATTTTGCTTAGCTGGTTTTATGATTATTGACAGAATATTGGTGGCAAAAATGCCATTGAAGAAAATAAAACTTTTTTTTTTAGTGTATACTAAGTACATGTGTTGATAATTTAGTTATAATACTCAGTTCCCTGAATTCTGTTTTGTGATGGGATTGAAAATAAAAAAAAATAACATTATTCCATTCTTTTTAATGAAATAATTTTATTTTGGCAAAAATGAGACAATTTATACAAAATGTGCATCTTCATTTCTTGGAAAATGCCTGGCTTTTCCTTTTTTAAAAAAATAAGTCTGTATGCACGTTAGTTTCTTGACTAACTAAGCCGTATACAGCAGTTTTATTATAATAGTTTATATAGCTTATCAAAGATGCAATAGTGCCAAATAAAGCTTCAAGATAAAATTACAGATATTTACTTAATTGCATCCAATTATGCAGAAAGATATGATGCAAATATCTAAATGAGGAAAATGCTATATTTATATTGAAAATATTATTCAGATTTTCACCTCTTTCAGTTGACTTCTTTCTTTCACTGTTTAGATAAATTATGTTTCTACCATTTCCATGAAGGTTTAGTGGGTTTCATTACCATTTCAATAAACATGAAGCTGCTGTAATGCTGTAGGAAGCAGGTTAAGAGATCCATTTAGGGGACAAATAATGCAGTGACCATTTATATCTGTTGTCTAAGACATGAAGGAAAATGAATACAAATAAAAAGCATGATTAATGAATCAGGAGCCTGGCGGAAGGGCTTTTAGCCTTTAGAGACTTAAAAAAAGCCATGTTAAATCGCCAAATATGGAATATTGCTTGAGTGATGCAACCTCCTATTTACATATCGAGGAGAACAGCTCAAAAGACATACTACCCAACCACCGTAAAACAAATGTGATCTAGATTGTTTAGAATGGACTCTGAAAGGCTGGTGAGTGCATAGTAGATTTAAATATACTGAACCAGCACAGATATGTGCTAGTACAACAGGCATTCAAACTTACAAAATGGGGTGTTTTGATACACATAAGATACTATATCTGCATGAAAAGCAGAAGACAAACAATGTTGCTCTGAGACATGCATTTTCAGGAGTTAAATGGTGGGAGATGTTTCATTCAATGAATTTAAACCGTTTATGCTCTTGAAATGTAAATAATAGAAAATTCCATTACACAATTTTGTATATGCTCTTTAATAAGCTATATATAAAAATGTAACAATGTGTTTACACATATATGCTAAAGCTCTCTTTCCTAATATTTCTTCAGCTACATGTATCAAAAAGTTCGAATTGTTCCTCTTGATGAATTTATTATAATTTCAAAACCCACATTCACAAGGTCTGTTAGGTAATGTTTTCATTTGCAAAATGTAGAAAAATTGTTGGGATTCTGGCCTAGGTGTCAGTTTCAAGCTTGTCCTGTTGTGGACTTGTAAAGAAAGGTGTTCATCGCAGTACAATCATGAGCTTTTCATTACATTTAACAGATCGACCATTAAACATTTTATTTATTGCCTATTTTGATAGTGTTGTGCTTTTAAACATGCACACATTTATTCTGCAATGACATAGCAAATAAACATTGTGTTTCTGTTACTTGAACCTACTTGATGATAGATTGTGGTTTACTTTGATAAATCAGGTCAGATGGGACTTTTATTGTATTTTCAGCTTTCTAAATATCAGAAGCAAGCTGATTCTTTAATGTGGCACATTGTTTGTTAGCCAGGGTAATCAGCCACTGTCTTAGGATACCATCCTAGCCAGGGGCGTCTGCACTCCATTTCTTTGTTGCAATTAGCTAATTGATGCAATATAAAAATATGTGAGTTTATTTTACATATTATTCAGTTTTAAAAAGTTGTCAAAATTGTATTATGTAGCAGAGAATGATTTACATTCTGAATTTTTACATTCCAACTGGCAGGGCTTTGTGAAATAAAGGCATTTAGTGCCTAGTCGGCCATTTCCTGGCACCACGCCATCTCCTTCCTAAAAGCTCAAAGCACTGGGCATCTTAAGTATTCTGCTTTGTGCTGTTTTTATTGGTTTCATATTGAACACTGGTTCAGCAGTGCTGACCAGGCCCAGTGGCTTCCTCTCATTTTACCAGTTTTTTTCGTATCCTATTATTGATTTGGCACTGGTGTTTTGACTTGTTTCTTATTCAGTGTCTCAGAGACACCTGGGCACTGGAAGGAGCAAGGTGCAGGGAGGATGAGGTCAACCCAGATCCCAGCAGGGTTTTAGTGTTCTTCATTTGCCTTTACAATCAGAGCTCAATTATCAAGCGTGAGTGTGGCCCTCAGGTGTGAGCTCAGATGGGATCATGTAAATGTCCTGTGAGATGTGATGCTGTAATATTAATGTTATTCATGAGTGCACTGTAATATTGTTCTGCACTGGAACTGGCAGCTCGGTGTATGGTACCTTTTTGGAAATGGGCACAGCCTTTTTTTGTTTTTTAAAAAATGCAAAAAGAATTCTTCTGAAATGTTTCATGATCACATGATGAATATTGACTAACAATAAATTGCCAATTTTTTTCCTACCAAACTGCAAGTTGCTAGCAGGGTTTATCATGCTGCCCACATGTATTAGAGCAGTAAGTTCTTTTTTGGCAGAAAGTATCTGAATTGAAACTACATTTGAAAGTAATCATTCTGATCATTATTTTATATATTTTGTATGTATATTTCCTTAAGCTAAGCAACTGTCATGTGTATTGGCTGGAAAACATGATGCCAATTAGCTGGGGCTCATTCAGCGTGACGTTAACACATTCTGTAAGACTCTTAACGCACATTTAACTGGGAAGTTGTGCCATTTGTATGACAGTTTAATGTAGTATCCAAATAAGTCGATGAATCGTTTCAATAATGAGGAGAATATTATTTGATCATCCAAATAAACAGTTACTGCAGCCTTAATATGTATGCGGAGGCGGGGAGAGAGTACAAGAGAAGTTGATTTTCTCATTCTGTATTATAAAACAAATAGTTTGTGTTGAATCAGCTCTCAAAATCACTTAAATCTTGATGCTAAATGCTAATTGAAATAGCTGATTCTTTTTGTGTATATTTGATCATGATGTGGTCCAGCATGGAAAGCCATAATTATTGGGTAACCTGAGAACTTAATTGTTTAGAATTAACAGTGGGAAAGATAGAAAGATCAACTCTCTTCAGGATGTTTAAACAATGAAAGGTTATTCCATGAGAAGCTTTTATCCTTAGGAAATTTCCTTATTTTTACAATACTGTTAATGTATAAGAGTGGTAGATAGTTTGGAAGAATCATGCTCACAAATGTCCTGTTGTCGTAAGTCCTGGGTTTTGTTTTGAAATGCCGAAATGATTGTTGTTATTTTGGCAGCGTTGTGATTGTCATTCCCTTCTCATTTCCTCAATAGTGTTTATGGGTGTGGTGGTTGTGGAGTTCCAAGATGGATCCCTGTGGGAAGAAAAAGCACAAGTGGGCAACACTGTCATCGGGTTTAGATATTTGTGTGTTCACAGTCTGTTGAATTGTGAAAAGTTTGCAGTTTTGTTGCCTTTGAAATTGTAGTACCATTCATTTTATTGCATGCCTCCTCCTTAACACACAGCATGTCATCTTGCTTACTAGTCTTAGAAAATCAAAGGATGTGTATTGAGAGGTGCCAGGCACTGAAGTCTGAGGTGAGGATGAATATTATGTCTTTGCACGCCTAATGCAAACAGAAAACTTAAAATAATGTATTTGTCCTTCATTCGTTTTGTTGCAGAGATACCTCCATCTAATGCCGAATGTTTGGAGTCTGATTGCTCCACTATCTGTACTGTAATCTTGTGTGGTTGTCACAGCAGTTTTCCAATAAGCTAATTGCCACACATAATACATTGTTAGAGATGTTGTCAGGATTCTGAATGAAAGTTAGGATCTGTGAAGTCAATGTAATTGTTCTGATGATTTTTTTATTGTTCCTGTGCTTTGGTTTGATGATCCTTGTTTGTAGCAAGCCAAGATTACCAGTCCTAATATTTTTACATTAAAAAAACTAGAAGAAATGGCTTAGAATAACCTGTGCTTCCTGGATGAATCTTGCTGATAATTTAGCAAAGCTCATTTGAATTTTAAGCACTTCTTTAATCTTCAAAGGCTAAATTGCTTTATGAATATGCATGGTGTGGGCAGACTTTAGTTCATTACCTAGTTGTAAATTCTAATGACCATTAGGTCCTCGCTGTAATTGCCAATTGTTTTGCATTTTTGATTGGCCTATTAACATGTGCATTCGGCACGC